TAAGGACAGACATTCATGGGTGATTCTAGATTTGAAGTTTTCGTGACTGCAAGGATCCATACTCTTTGGTTCTTTCGGTAAAGTTACGTAGAGAAAAAATAAGAACAAAAAAAGTAAAAATAAATTAATTAAATCACGACAACCACAGCAAGAAACTTTTACTTCAGTAACAAGTATAACCCGTAAAAACAAAGTTTTTCACTCTAAATCCTTTATATGCGTGGCGGCTAGAGTCCTCTCGTCCTCTGGCTTGCGATGGCTGCCACCTATGGGTTAGATGATTGTCTGCAGTATTAAACAATTGGTAATTAAATATTTAATTTGTTTTCCCTAAACAGTGTAAAATTTTGGAAAAAAATTCTCACGAACATTAATTGTCTCGCACAACGAGTGTGTGTGCAAAATGTCAGCTCGATTGGATCACGGGAAGTGGGTTAAAAAACGACCGAAAGGTTTGCACGGTCGTAAGCAAGCAAGCACGCAAGCAAGCAAGCAAGCGAACTTAATATAAAGGATTTAAAAAATGATTGCTGTGATTGTCACACCTGATGACGATTGCTTGTGTTGCAATCGAAACGAACGTGATTTAATTTTGATTTAAAGCTTTCGTGACTGCAGGGATTCATATTCTTGGTTCTGTCGGTAAAGTCACGTAGAAGGGAAATAATAAAATAATAACAAATATAAGATTTCACACCTGATGATGATTGCTTGTGTTGCAGTCGAAACGTCGTGAGAATTTTTATTGTTTTATATTTATATTATTTTATTACTTCCCTTCGACGTGACTTTACCGAAAGAATCAAGAATATGTGATTTAATTTATTTCTTTTTTCTTCTTTCTTTTTGCATTTTTTCTTTACCTACGTGACTTTACCGAAAGAACCAAAGAGTATTCCTGGGTGATTGTGGTAGGTATAGCAAGGGCACTCCGGCAGTGTTTTTTTTCGAAATAAAAATGTTCATCACGGGTGCTTCATGGAGGACATCGTTTTGAGGGGGTGGAGGAGAAAGTCGATTGCGATTTGAAACGTCTGTTGGAGGATTCGATCACAAATAAAAAGTGTTTGTGTGGTGGACACTGAGAGTGGTGGACACTGCCATGGTGGACACTGATAGTGGTGGACACTGAGAGTGGTGGACACTGCCCGTGGTGGACACTGAGAGTGGTGGACACTGCAGGTGGTGGACACTGAGAGTGGTGGACACTGCTCGTGGTGGACACTGCTCGTGGTGGACACTGCTCGTGGTGGACACTGAGTGGTGGACACTGCTCGTGGTGGACACTGCACGTGCTGGACACTGCCCGTGGTGGACACTGAGAGTGGTGGACACTGCCCATGGTGGACACTGCCCGTGGTGGACACTGAGAGTGGTGGACACTGCTAGTGGTGGACACTGCTCGTGGTGGACACTGCAGGTGGTGGACATTGCCCGTGGTGGACACTGAGAGCGGTGGACACTGCTAGTGGTGGACACTGCAGGTGGTGAACACTGCTCATGGTGGACACTGCAGGTGGTGGACACTGCTCTTGGTGGACACTGCTAGTGGTGGACACTTCCCGTGGTGGACACTGAGAGTGGTGGACACGGCTCTTGGTGGACACTGCTCTTGGTGGACACTGAGAGTGGTGGACACTGCCAGTGGTGGACACTGCAGGTGGTGGACACTGAGAGTGGTGGACACTGCACGTGGTGGACACTGAGAGTGGTGGACACTGCAAGTGGTGGACACTGAGAGTGGTGGACACTGCACGTGGTGGACACTGCACGTGGTGGACACTGCCAGTGGTGGACACTGCTCGTGATGGACACTGAGAGTGGTGAACACTGATCATGGTGGACACTGAGAGTGGTGGACCCTGCTCGTGGTAGACACTGCACGTGGTGGACACTTCCCGTGGTGGACACTGAGAGTGGTGGACACGGCTCTTGGTGGACACTGCTCTTGGTGGACACTGAGAGTGGTGGACACTGCCAGTGGTGGACACTGCAGGTGGTGGACACTGAGAGTGGTGGACACTGCACGTGGTGGACACTGAGAGTGGTGGACACTGCAGGTGGTGGACACTGAGAGTGGTGGACACTGCAGGTGGTGGACACTGAGAGTGGTGGACACTGCACGTGGTGGACACTGCACGTGGTGGACACTGCCAGTGGTGGACACTGCCCATGGTGGACACTGCTCGTGATGGACACTGAGAGTGGTGGACCCTGCTCGTGGTAGACACTGCACGTGGTGGACACTGCCCATGGTGGACACTGAGAGTGGTGGACACTGCAGGTGGTGGACACTGCAAGTGGTGGACACTGAGAGTGGTGGACACTGCAGGTGGTGGACACTGCAAGTGGTGGACACTGAGAGTGGTGGACACTGCAGGTGGTGGACACTGCAAGTGGTGGACACTGAGAGTGGTGGACACTGCCCATGGTGGACACTGCCCGTGGTGGACACCGCAGGTGGTGGACACTGCACGTGGTGGACACTGCACGTGGTGGACACTGAGAGTGGTGGACACTGAGAGTGGTGGACACTGCACGTGGTGGACACTGCACGTGGTGGACACTGAGAGTGGTGGACACTGCACGTGGTGGACACTGCCCGTGGTGGACACTGAGAGTGGTGGACACTGCCCATGGTGGACACTGCCCGTGGTGGACACTGAGAGTGGTGGACACTGCAGGTGGTGGACACTGAGAGTGGTGGACACTGCTTGTGGTGGACACTGCCAGTGGTGGACACTGCCCGTGGTGGACACTGCAGGTGGTGGACACTGCTAGTGGTGGACACTTCCCGTGGTGGACACTGAGAGTGGTGGACACGGCTCTTGGTGGACACTGCTCTTGGTGGACACTGAGAGTGGTGGACACTGCCCATGGTGGACACTGAGAGTGGTGGACACTGCACGTGGTGGACACTGAGAGTGGTGGACACTGCACGTGGTGGACACTGAGAGTGGTGGACACTGCTCTTGGTGGTGGACACTGCTAGTGGTGGACACTGCAGGTGGTGGACACTGCAGGTGGTGGACACTGCCCGTGGTGGACACTGCAGGTGGTGGACACTGCAGGTGGTGGATCTACGATGTATGCTGAACTTCTTTCGCACCGCACGTAGCCCAGCCGTGCCAATCGGCTTTGACCGCCGTTCCACCACTCCCAGGACGACGTCGTGAGCGCACCGGCCATAAATGACGTCACGGGATGTCGGACGATTTTTCACCCCCCCCCCCCCCCTCGTCACACGGCGTCACAAAAAGTCAGACCCCCCCTCAAATATGACGTCACAAAGCTCTGCCCCCCCCCCCAAAACCATATTTCTATTTTGAAAATAAAACAAGCTTCAAGTCGCTTTAAAATATTGTCACTGTAGTGCGTATTTAATGTGGCGCTGCACTCTGATGTTGTAGGAGAAAACATTTATTAAAAACAAAGTCTATTTAATTAAGTAGAATGTGTTGTCTATATTTATTTTAAAGTTGCGCATTTTGATGTGACGTCACATTTCTCAACCCCCCCAACCCCCCTCTCGTCACACATCGTCACAAATGTCTGACCCCCCCTCCCCACCCCTCTAGGTGCGTGACGTCATTTATGGACGGCCCCTAAGCCTCGCGTGAGTGTCCCCCAGAGGGAAATCGTCTCAAACTTTACAGTCGCAAAAGCTTCGCGCACCCGCTTGGGCGCGCGGTCGAATGTGCAAATATTTAAACCGAAGCGTTTGCAAACGAGCTTTTAATAAATACACGAGGAAATGAAACGCATCGTTAGCGGCGCAACACATTTGTGAACGCGGTATATAAATCCTCTTGGCGCGCGCATCATCACAATCGACTGGCTCCATGCCCACGCAATCGTGGACAAAAGGAGTGATATTCGTGTGCATTTAGATGGTGGTGGGGGGGGGGGGTGTTCGTTTTTTTGTTTGTCAATACGTGTAAATGTATTCTGTTCAATTTCGATGTAAAGCTTTCGTGACTGCAGGGATTGATCTTCTTGGTTCTTTCGGTAAAGTCACGTAGAAGGGAAATAATAAAGTAATACAAATAAAACATAATAAAATAATTCTCACGACGTTTCGGCCACAACGCTCCAAGCGTGGCGGTGTTTCATTCAGACGCTGTCTCCCCGACAGACCTGGTCTTCGCCTGAGGACGGCTGCTTGCGTTGTGGCCGAAACGTCGTGAGAATTATTTTATTATGTTTTATTTGTATTATTTTATTATTTGCCTTCTACGTGACTTTACCGAAAGAACCAAGAACATGTATTCTGTTCCTAATAGGGTTTTTTTCTGGCAACAAAACTGACACATTTTGCAAGGAATCATGTTTACATTAACCACAATACTTGCAGTCAAATGCAAACAAAAAACAATACTCTGATCATTTATGCATTGTCTTTGAAACTGATTGGTCCACACCAGAGACAGCTTTCTTTAGAGCCTAGTCTCACACGGTGTTCGACCAGATGACGCCAAAAGGCGCACAGTTCAAAGACAACGCACTACCAGAGTAATGAGAGCTCGGGGTGAGCAGCTACATCATGGGACCTCCTTTGCCAGTACCAAAATATACTAATAGGGTTAATATTCTGTTCCCTTTAGAGTGAACCACGTCGCGGGGTTTCGCATGAGATCTCGGACAAGCGCGGTCAGAGCTCGGGGGTGGGAGTCCAGAGTGGGTGGCTTCATAAAGCTGCCTTTGGGCGGCGGGCGGGTGGAGGGTGGTTAGACCACAGCCAACAGACGCTGATGAGCAGAACGCATTGGAGAAGAGGAGCTGATTTAGCACGGACAGATCATCTTCAACCGCCCCCCCCCCCCCCCTTACAAAGGAAGCTTCCTCCCACTTCATCCCTTCACTTCCACTTCTCCCTCCCTCCACTCCCTCCCCTCCCACTCCCTCCACTCCTACTCCCTCCCTTCACTCCCTCCCTCCACTCCCAATTCTCCCTCCGTCCACTTCCTCCCTCCACTCCCACTTCTCTCTCCCTCCACTCCCTCCCTCCCATTCCCTCCACTCCCACTTCTCCCTCCCTCCCCTCCCACTCCCTCTCTTCAACCCCACTTCTCCCTCCCTCCACTCCCATCATCCTGTGGTCTCCGATGTCCGACCAGAAATCCACGGGTGACCACCCTCGCCGCACCACCCCAACCCTCACCCCCTCCAACACAAGTGGAACAAACAAACACAACGAAGAAAAGCCCCCCCCCCCCCCCGATTGGTCTGTCCCAGAGACAGGCTTCTTCGTGGCCTTGTCTCACCAATTTTATATCCGGCGGGAGGGCGACAAAGGCGAACGGTACAAATGCATTGCCCGTGTCAGAGCATTCGGGCACGGGTTGAGCAGTGATTATGTATATATGTGGCACTTTTTGTTTCCAGTATCAAAGTAATGGCAAATAAGAAGAGGTTTTTGACCCTTTCTGTTCGTCTTGCATGTTTCGCCACAAGTACGCGTGACTAATGCCGACTCGATTGCTTGCAACAACAAAACAAGGGTATATCTCTTTGGTGTTTGAATATCTTCAGACCTGCTGTTTCATTGCCAGAAAGGGTAAAAATCTATTCATATATATAATGCTTATTTTTTTACCATATTTGCTACTAGGCAAAAAAAGGCCACCATAGATTAAAAAAGAAGCCACCACCCCCACCACCACCCAGGATTTGTGATTGTGGCTGGACCGTCGTAAGCCATGGGGGGCCAAATCGTAAGGGCCCCCTTACTGCCGCCCTCCAAACCACCAGCCCAAAGTAAAGAAGGTTCAACAGAGCAGACAAACACTGCCTTCACATAGATTGCCTCAAGGCGCTGGGCCTAACCATCTCAATCGGATTTTTTTTTCCTTTATATTCATAAGTGAGCAAAACTCAGTTTTTTTTTAAATACAGGCTGCTTCAAAACAATGTGAACACTTCCGAGAATTTGCAACAACACCACGAGAAATGTGCCGGCTCTGGAGACCACCTGGAGAAGATTCCAGGCCACGTGTTGACGACGATGGCGAACGAGTGGGAGAGACTCTGTGACTTTTCGAAGCTATTAACATGACATTTGTCATCACGTTACGGTGTTTTATTATCCGTCTAAATTTCGATTTAAAGCTTCTTCGTGACTGCAGGGATTCATCTTCTTGGTTCTTTCGGTAAAGTCACGTGGAAGGGAAATAATAAAATACTAAAAATAACACGTAATAAAATATAATTCTCACGACGTTTCGGCCACCTTGACAAGGCGCCCTTCCCCCTCTAACCCAACTTAAATATGTGCTGCCAAGCTTGGTGGTGTTTCATTCACACGCTGTCTTTCCGACAGCCCTGTCCTTCACCCGAGGACGGCTGCTTGCGTTGTGGCCGAAACGTCATGAGAATTGAATTTAATTATGTTTTATTTGTATTATTTTACTATTTCCCTTCTACGTGTTATCCGTTTCTTTTTTTTTCTTATTAAAAACAATAGTCTCGTGTAGATGTTTTTTTGAAGCACCCTTGTATTTCACGCCGTAAGGCCTCAGGCGCGAGAAGGAGGATGCCCACGTGCGCGCGTATCTACATGTCGAGTTCGCCTTTCGCACCGTAGCGGAAGCCAAAACCGTGCGACTCGCAGGGTGCGCGGAGTGGCGGGCAACAAACCGAAGACAAAAAGCGGTTCCGAAGAAACGAAAGTTTAAATTTCGATTTAAAGCTTTCGTGACTGCAGGGATTCATCTTCTTGGTTCTTTCGGTAAAGTCACGTAGAAGGGAAATAATAAATAATTAAAATAAAACATAATAAAATAATTCTCACGACGTTTCGGCCACAACATGTCTGTCGATAAGACAGAGTCTGTCTTATCGACAGACATGTGCTTCACCTGAGGACGGTTGCTTGCGTTGTGGCCGAAACGTCGTGAGAATTATTTTATTATGTTTTATTTTTATTATTTTATTACTTCCCTACTACGTGACTTTACCGAAAGAACCAAGAAAACGAAAGTTTGTTCCGTCGAGATGATTTTCAATGTGCACGGCTCCGGTGATTTCCTAATATCGGAATGGGGGTGGCGAGGGATGGGAGCATCCCGTGCTCCACTTAAATCCACGGGCCCAGAGTGACTCGTGGCTCCATGACACGGACAAGGGAGAGGGAGGGTCTGGGTGGAGGTTAGGGGCTAGACTCGGGCCGGACGTCCCCCCCCCCCTTGGGTAGGGGCAGGAGTGTTGGAGCGGTGAAGACGTCAAGCGTAGGCCGTTGTAAGTCAATCAGAATCATCACCCATGCTGGGAGGAATCCGATGAGCTATGAAGCTCTTCCCCCCCCTCCCACAGATGTACAGTAAATAGATTGAACCCATCGACGTGACTTTACCGAAAGACCCAAGAATATAAGAATAAAAGATTAAGGGGCGGCATGAAGCAATTCTTTCCGCTCGTGAAAGGCGGCGGGGTGGGGGGTGGGTTCCGTGGTCAATGCAAAGGATAGGCAGAGCCTCTTTCGAGAAGGGGGGGGGGGCTCCGTTAGGTGGGAGGTCAGGGGCCATCCAGTGGTGAGGGGCGGTGATGGGGGGGAGGAACGCCGGGGGGAGATGGAGGGGCTTGTCAGTGTTCAGGGGGCGATCTGATCTTTGGAAGGAATTCATCGCGAGATCTGCGTGGGATCCATGGTGGGCGGACGGCAGGGGGATCTGATTGCGTAAAGACGCATGGAACAGGGGGAGGGGCAGCCCGTGGCCTTTTAAAGACTGCTTCGTCACGCCATGTAACGTCACGTGACGTGGGCATGCACGTGCATTGTGATACAGCGGGACGTAATGCATGCACGTGCACTGCGGCTCTTTAAATACTCAGTTACTGGACCGAATTCGAAAAAAAACAACAATGGTTCTTCCTCCTCCTCTTCTTCTTATTGTTGTTATTTTGTTTTTGCCGGTGACCTTGAAGGTATCCCCAAGGGGAATCTTTACTCGAACCATGGTGGGGGGAGGGGGGTGGAGATTCTAGTGATAGGCAGGACCGGATTAAGATTGTCTAGGCCCCCCTGGGCTGCAGGTAACTGTGAGGGCCCCCCAGTAATATTTTCAAAAGGAAAAAAACAAAGTGAAAGAAAAATAAAATTGTATTTTTTTACAAGGCTAACAACAAATACGAATTCAGCATTCACGAACGAAATCACTTTCCACTTCATCTCTGGAGGGGGCCCTCCAGCTGGCGCGGGGCACCCTTGGGCTGCAGCCCCCTAAAGCCCCCCGTGCCTGAATCCGGCCCTGAGTGGTAGGGACGATAAGTGGGGGGGCAGGAGGGAGGGGGGGGGGGTCCGTGCAGAGAGGCGTGCCCTAGCGGCGCCTGCGCCCGAACGTGCTGGCTCCCGTGTCCGTGGGGCCGGCGCCCTCCATGCCGCGCGCGCGGCTCAGGAAGTCCATGAGGCGCTGCGTGGCGCACGTGGCCGTGTTGCACGCGCGCTTGTGCACCAGGCTCCTCGCTGATGCCGCCTCCTCATCCTCGTCGGGCCTGGGAGACGCGCAGGTGGGGGGGGGGGGGGTGAGGTAAGGTGGGGGGGTGAGGTGGGGGGGTGAGGTGGGGGGTGAGGTGGGAGGGTAAGGTAGGGGGGTGAGATGGGGGGGTGAGATAGGGGGTGAGGTAGGGGGTGAGGTGGGGGGTTGAGGTGGGGAGTGAGGTAGGGGGGTGAGGTAGGGGGGGTTGAGGTAGGGGGGTGAGGTGGGGGGTGAGGTGGGAGGGGTGAGGTGGGGGGTGAGGAGGGGGGTGAGGTGGGGGGGTGAGGTGGGGGGGTGAGGTAGTCACTACACCACTGATAATGTAGTTACTACGCCACTGACAATGGAGTTACTACGCCACTGATAATGTAGTTACTACACCACTGATAATGTAGTTACTACACCACTGATAATGTAGTTACTACACCACTGATAATGTAGTTACTACACCACTGATAATGTAGTTACTATACCACTAAAAATGTAGTTACTACACCACTGATAATGTAGTTACTACGCCACTGACAATGGAGTTACTACGCCACTGATAATGTAGTTACTACACCACTGATAATGTAGTTACTATACCACTGATAATGTAGTTACTACACCACTGATAATGTAGTTACTACACCACTGATAATGTCGTTTACTACGCCACTGATAATGTAGTTACTACACCACTGATAATGTAGTTTACTACACCACTGATAATGTAGTTTACTACGCCACTGATAATGTAGTTACTACGCCACTGATAATGTAGTTACTACACCACTGATAATGTAGTTACTACACCACTGATAATGTAGTTACTACACCACTGATAATGTAGTCACTACGCCACTGATAATGTAGTTACTACGCCACTGATAATGTAGTTACTACGCCACTGATAATGTAGTTTACTACGCCACTGATAATGTAGTTACTACACCACTGATAATGTAGTTACTACACCACTGATAATGTAGTTACTACACCACTGATAATGTAGTTACTACGCCACTGATAATGTAGTTACTACACGACTGATAATGTAGTTTACTACACCACTGATAATGTAGTTACTACGCCACTGATAATGTAGTTACTACGCCACTGATAATGTAGTCACTACGCCACTGATAATGTAGTTACTGGCAGACTAATGCGCAGCTTCCACCGAGGGCTTGAGTCGATCTAGGGCCTCCCCTAGGTCGACTCAGCCTCAAATGAGTACCTGGTGCGGTGTGTAAACATCGCCACTAGGGAGACAAAGGCGGCCGGGCGTGGTGCTGGCCACCCACCCCCTCGTGTGCCATTCCGGCCGTCATAGGTGCTCCCTAACAGCACTTGCCCCTACGATCTGTTAAGGCTATAGGGGGATCTTTCTCCTTGTCTTTGTGTGTGTGTGCATGTGTATGTACTGGTGCAGGCTGTTGGACTGCAGGGCTGATGTCTCCCCAGGGCCGCTGAGTAGGAGCCGCGTCTCAGACGGAGTCAGCACGATCGGTCGGGAAACGGAATCCGCAGGAACGACGATCACCCTGCACAAAGACAAAGATCCCCGTCACCCCGGTATAGCCTCAGCAGGCTGTTTGGGGCAAGTGCTGTTGGCGAGCCACAGCCCAATTTCACTCACACACACACGCACGAGCAGAACCAAAGTGAATTAACGGCGGCCCCTCTGCGATGAGACGCGAAGCAGGCGATCAATGTAAGTGGGGCCTGCTATAAAGTTGGTAACTTTCAGAGGGGACACTTTGATGAGCGGATTAATGAATCACTTAGCTCCGGTTGCGCGGCTCACTTAGTCGGATTAAAACGCCGCCGACAGAGACATCGTCCCAACGCATCACCGCGACTTGGTGGGTGGGTGGGTTGGGGTGGGGGGGGTTTCTGTCGCGACTGATCAATGCCGATCGCAGTGATTGATCCGACCGGTTATAGCCACAGGACTGCTGGGGGGGTGTGCCAACGGGTTCCGTACCAACCGACCGCTAGCGCGGGATCGATAATCGCCTCGTTCGTCTCGAGACTCGTCCCTCTCTCCATGTCTCTGTGGTGGATGGAGAGAGAGAGAGGGGAGGAGGAGAGGGGTGGGGTGGAACAAAAAAACGCAAACAATCAAAATCGATCTTAATTTTGGAGCTTTTGTGACTGCAGGAATTATTCTTTGCAGCAGCATCACGTTGCCGTCCACTCATTGATATGCTATTTTTTTCTCTGCCCCCTCCCTCTCTCCGCCCCCGCCCCCCCTCTCTATATTTAAGGCACCGTCACAGATACGATCTCTCTTTGTGCCGATATGTGTGTCCTCTCTCTGTGTGTCCTTGTGATGTCTGTCTGCTTGTATGTTATTTTTTTTTATGTCTGATGATGATTGCTTGTGTTGCAATAGAAACGTCGTAATATGCTATTATTTCATTTATTATTTTATCTTTAGACGTGACTTAACCGAAAGAACCAAAGAATAATCAAAATCGATTATATAATTACAATAGCTCCCCCCCTCCCTCCGCATCCTCCGTCTCTGATCTCTTCACCTGAGTGGGTTCAGCGATGACGTTGTCCTGCTGCCGATCTGTTTAAGACGAGAAGCAGGTGCATGGCTTGACGATTCTGGCAAACTGTCCGATGTTGCTGGTCGATGTCGTTACCAGCGAAACGTCGTACTACTCAAATTGTAAATGTTGTGGATTTACTCTCCAACACAGCGGTGGGCTGAAGTAGTACACTACACTATACACTACTACACAATACACTACTACACTATACACTACACTATACACTATACACTATCACACTACACACTACACTATACACTACACTATGTACTACTACACTATACACTACTACACTACACTACTACACTACTACACTACACTATACACTACACTACTATACACTACTACACTACACCATACACTACTACACTATACACTACACTACTACACTACACTATACACTACACTACACTATACTAGTAACTAATTGGCGTTTTGTTTACGTGACAAATCCCTTACGGATTGTCCGTGTTCGATGATGGAGGGTTTCGACACATTTATACTTGGGCGATCTAACCCAAAACAACATTTATTGTGAATAAAAATCACGTGGGACGGAGACAACGATTCCCCCGTGTAGCCTGTAACGGACTGCTGGGGCAAGCGCTGTTGTTAGCGAGCAGCACCTACGAAGGCCGGCACGGCACACGAAGTCGGGGTTGGGTATGCCAGCACCACGCCCGGCCCGCCTTTGTCTCCCCCGGTGGCGATGTTTTTATACGCATCGCAGCAAGGTGCTCATTTGAGGCCGAGTCGACCTAGGGGAGGCCCCAGGAGCCGTTCGGATGTAATTCGTCACCGGCGGTGTTGGTCGAACTCGGATCACCCGGGTTCGTAGCGAAGCGCGTTAACCGATTGCGCCACCGCTCCACAGGTCCACAGGTCCACAGGTCCACAGGTACACAGGTACACAGGTACACAAAGATAAAGATCCCCCGTATAGCCTGAACAGACTGTAGGGGCAAGTGCTGTTAGCGAGCACCTATGAAGGCCGGAACGGTACACGAGGGGGTGGGTGGCCAGCACCACGCCCGACCGCCTTTGTCTCCCTAGTGGCGATGTTTACACACCGCACCAGGTACTCATTTAAGGCTGAGTCGACCTAGGGGAGGCCCAGGACCGGTTCAGATAATCGTCACTGGTGTTAGCCGTGAGCGGGAATCGAACCCGGGTCGCCAGGTTCATAGCGCAGCGCGCTAACCGCTACACTACCGCTCCCCACACACACACAGGTACACACACACAGGTACACACACACAGGTACACACACACAGGTACACACACACACAGGTACACACACACATGTACACACACAGGTACACACACACAGGTACACACACACAGGTACACACACAGGTACACACACACACAGGTACACACACACAGGTTCACAGGTACACACACACACACAGGTACACACACACACAGGCACACACAGGTACACACACACACAGGTACACACACAGGTACACAGTTCGACAGGTACACGGGTCCACAGGTACACAGGACATCTGTGAAAAAAATAGCTTCATAGCTCCTCGGATTCCCCCAAATTTGCTGATTCCAGACAATACGGTACACACTTCACCGCCGTCTGAAACGCTCCGCCTATTTCAACGAGGCTTCGTCTGTCGTTTTGCATTGACCACGAAACCACCAACCCACCCCCCACCCCCCATTCACGCTTCATTCCTCCTCCAGCATTCAATAAACATTGGCGACTCTGATTTCCAAGGGGCACGATAGTTCGTAGGTGTAGATGACCGGGCAACGACTGCCACTGCACCAACTCCGGTACCACGCGGCGCATCGATATGCCCCGCGGGCCACCGTGAGGTCCGTGAGGGCCACCGGGAGAGACACCGTGAGATCCGTGAAGGCCTCCGGGAGGTCCGTGAGGGCCTCACGTCAATCGCTCGCGGCAAGTTCAAATGCTGTGGGCGAAGCCGCCGCCACCGCTGCCGCTGCCGCGTCGATAATTGAGACCCGAGACGGAGAAGAGCGACCCCCGCCCGGCTTGACGTCGTTTCGCTCGCCCCGTCCGCTCACGTGTCATCGTCCCGTCATCATTGCGGGCGTCGTTGAAGCGACCGCTGTTGGGTCGTGAATGTTGAAAACACCGTCGCTCACCGGGGTCATCGTTTCGATCGTCTGACATTCAGACGGGGCAGTTGCGGCGGCAACAACTGACAACAACAAAAATTGGTACACGTGACATTGCTTCGCCCATAGGTCTTTGTGAATCCGGAAGGGGAGAAAAAAAACAACGTTGAGCCAACGTTGGGTTTGCGGTGGGAGATGTTGGACCAGCATTGGTGGCGAAGTTCCATGTTTAGCAGTTTCCTTTAAGCCACTTGCCACCTCTGGCAGTGATCCCGCGATGTAATACCCCACCCCAGCACCTGCACACGTGCTGATTTAAATGCTCCATCTCCCCCCCCCCCGTGTCCGATCTCACTTTTCTGTTAATTGTAATTAATTGAAATTTAGTCCTGAGATTCGCTCCCAAAGCAATCGAGCTCGCGCCTGCGCAGGTGACGTGGATTTTTTTCCCCATCATAGTTCCCCAATGATAATTATCATTTAAATGTACCGTATTGTTTGGACTAACGCGACGCTCCGGAAAGTAAGACTCACCCCAAACGTGTACACTGGTTTGCAAAGATCGTCTTACGCACAAACAAATACAAATATCCCCGTATAGGCACAACAGACTGTTGGGGCAAGTGCTGTTAGCGAGCACCTCTTAAAGCACGGCACACAAGGGGGTGGGTGGCCAGCACCACAACTTGCCGCCTTTGTCTCCCTTGTGACAATGTTCAGACACTGCACCAGGTACTCATTTGAAGCTGAGTTTACCTAGGGGAGGCCCGGGACCGGTTTAGATATTCGTCACTGATTATGTGTTAGCCGCGAGCGGGAATCGAATTCGGGTCGCGGGGTTCTTAGCGCAGCGCGCTAACCGCGACACTCACAACATACCTATGGGACCATAGGAGACACACACCTGCAACGTTTTTGCTTTTGAATACAATTCGTCGATACAAGTGCTTCTCGTGATCGGCAGACTACGGTAATTACGGTAGATCACCATTGTGGTGTCATTTGCGGGGTCAAACCCACGTAGGCTTTCGCGACCAATATCATCCATAATACAGGGTTGGTTTTATTTTTCGGTTAGGGTTTAACGACACATTTATATATTTACGCGATCTAACCCCCCCCCCCCTCCCAAAAAAAACTTTTTATAAACCCCCATTTACAGTCAAACGTTAATGCCCAATTAATTATAAAATAATTAACAACCGACCACGCGCTGCGAGGGCGATTCCAGGGTCTACCCAAAAAATCTACGTCACTCGCTCCTCGACGTTTCGAACACGGGACCTCCATCAGCGGTTTGTCTACTCGCAATACCTCCCGTGTCGCAGTGCCGCCCCTGGGGTCCCGTCTTTCAAACTCTAAACGGGTCTGACAGGCCTAAACTGCGCCGATGAGAGGCGCGGTGGGTGGAAACCCGGGCCCAATGCGCTTCTTGCGTGAGCGATTTTTTTTTCACTGAGTGTAAATAATAATGATAATACGCGCAGGAAAAGGTATACTGCTTCTACGGATTTGAACGTCACTTTATTCTACCAGATTTAGCAACCCCCATCCCCACGTGTAAAACGTACAACATCAAAGCATCAGTCTACTTCAAGTGTCTATGTATACCCTTTATTTTGTTTTGACTATTTTTATTTTACCAGGTAAGGCCCACTGAGCTATTTGGCTCTTTTTTTTGCAGCGACCTGGCCACAAATGATAGCTCAACGAAGTGGCTTATCACGTGGAAATGTTTTTCCAGCCCAACACTCCAGACGCACGCCTCTGAATGTGGAGGGAAACAGCCGGTGGACCCGGAGCAACATCAAAGCGAACACGGAGAGAGAGAGACGCGCAAACTCCAAATATACAGCAGTAGGCATCAGGGTCGAGATCGAACCCACGACCTCCTGTGTACCAGGCGAGGTAGTTAACATATCCTAGCCACCGTAATGATGATGATGAGAGAGAGAGAGACGCAAACTCCAAATATACAGCAATCATCAGGGTCGGGATCGAGCCCACGAACTCCTGTGTATCAGGCGAGGTAGTTAACATCTCCTAGCCACCGTAATGATGATGATGAGAGAGAAAGAGAGACGCAAACTCCAAATATACAGCAGGCGTCAGGGTCGGGATCGAACCCACGAACTCCTGTGTACCAGGCGAGGTAGTTAACATCTCCTCGCCACCGTAATGATGATGATGATGAGAGAGAGACACGCAAACTTCAAATATACAGCAGGCATCAGGGTCGGGATCGAACCCACGAACTTCCTGAGTACCAGGAAGTTCGCTACCGTGGCGCCCCTATAGATACTTTACGTACATTGATGGTTGTGTCAATCTAGATCAGTGGTTCTTCACCTTTACTGCACCCTACGTCTGATCTTCAGCAAACTGTAGCGAGTGGCTCGCAGCTACCGCAAACCTTCGAGTTCAAATCCTGGTTGGGATTTGACACAGCCCATCAACCCTTTGGGGGGGGGGTCGATAAAATAGGTACCAACCCGTGTGGGGAAGCCAACAGTGGGCCGTCCTATGGCCACGAGACTTGCCTCCTCGCCATGGGAATGTGGAATTACAGTCACCGTCTCTCAGGGCTGTAAACAGGAGATGAGCACCGGTGGTCATTCGAGCGGTGCGCAACTTTGACTTGTGATTAGGAGTCGAGACAGTAAATGATTTGCAACACTTTTAATTTCGACAACGTCTGCGTGGCTGAGAATTATATTTTGGATGTTGACACGTGGAGCGAGCCGTGGGTGAAATTGACGAGCCTGAAAATCCACAACGCACGCAAATCACCATCGTCCTCAACAATGTAACACGGTTTAAAGCGTTCGTGACTGCAGGGATTCATCTTCTTGGTTCTTTCGGTAAAGTCACGTAGAATGGAAATAATAAAATAATAAAAATAAAACATCATAAAATAATTCTCACGACGTTTCGGCCACAATGCGTTGTGGCCGAAACGTGACTTTACCGAAAGAACCAAGAAGAAGAAACATGTAACACGGCCCTGTTACACCCAATGATTAGTTAGCGCCGTGTATGCATTGAATCGTGGTGGCGAGATGTTAGCTACTTCTTGGGTTCGATCCCGACCCTGACGCCTGCTGCTGTGTATTTGGAGTTTTGCGTGTCTCTCTCTCTCTCCCACTCCGTGGTCGCGTGGATTTTTCCTTCGGATCCTCCGGTTTTTCCCTCTACATTTCGAATCAACGTCAAGCGTTTGGAGTATTTTGGCTGCTGTGCATTTCCACACGATCACGATAATCCACTTTGTCGGCCTATCATTTGTGATAACCAGCTCGCTTCTGAAAAAGTAGTTTTAGTTTACCATAATGTTGTGTCAAACTAGGGTCCCCCATTTCGGAAATAGAGAAGGGAAGGGGCCGTTCTTACCTATAACAAACCTGACAGTTCACCAGCATCGATTCACGCGAGGCTAAGTCTGCTGATGGGACACGGCGTGTCGATCACTGGTCCGGAGTTGTGCTTGGAGTCAATCGACGCTGCCACAAAATTGTGCGCTGCCAGAATGACCGCGCGGCTGATGGGGTTGTATAAGTAAATATACAATTGTATTTTGTGATCTGGGGAGACGCACATTTGGAGGTAACATTGGTCTGTTTTTTATATATATGTTCCACTGCTGGATTATAAGTTTTCGTGACTGCAAGAATCCATACTCTTGGTTCTGTCGGTAAAGTCACGTAGGTAAAGAAAATAAAATAAAAGATAAAAATAAATCACGACGTTTCGGATGCAACACAAGTGTCCGTCATCAGGTGTTTTTTGCTGTGATTGTTCTGACGCTGGTGTTGCATCCGAAACGTCGTGATTTATTTTTTATCTTTTATTTAATTTTAATTTTATTTACCTACGTGACTTTACTGCTGGATTTTATTTTTTCCGCCTGAGGACGACCGCTTGTGTTGAGATCTAAACGTCGTGATTTATTTTATTTTGTACCTACGTGACTTTACCGAAAGAACCAAAGAGTATGTACACGAAAGATGCTTACAACTGCGGCATGCTGAGAACTCTTACACGATAATTTCTCGAGCGCAAACGACAGTTTTATCATTCTGACGGGCAATTGGAGGCAGAAATAGACGCTCCCGATGTGGAACTATGTAAGCATTTAGACATTTCGATTTAAAGCTTTCGTGACTGCAGGGATTCGTCTTCTTGGTTCTTTCGGTAAAGTCACGTAGAAGGGAAGTAATAAAATAATAAACATAAAACATAATAAAATAAAATAACGTCGTGAGAATTATTTTATTTTATTATGTTTTATTTTTATTATTTTATTACTTCCCTTCTACGTGACTTTACCGAAAGAACCAAGAAGACATTTAGACATTTATAATACATGAACTCTGTTCATTATTAGTAGCAAACAAGCACTTAACCCTACATGCTTTCAAGGTCTGTTTGCTACCGAATATCTTCGAAGAAATATATCCCTGCATCAGCAATATCTCGATATCTCACGATTATTTTCACGATGTCTCGAAACGTTGTCTCCAACGGAAGCCAGTCAAATATCGCGACTGCCACCTCTTCTCTGCCACCAACGAAGAGCCACTGGCACGAGATTGTAGCCTCCTGCTGCCCGCCTCTTACCGAGAGGGCCATAGCCTCTAGGAACATCGGGCGAGTTCACCAGCATCGGTTTGGAGGAAGTCAAAACCCTGCCACTGTTCACCCTGTTAGCCTCACATCACACAATTCACGACGTCACCTATTGCCTAAAACCCAGAGCTTGACCACTAACCCAGACTTTTCAGCGCTTCGATCTCACGCGAATTTTTAACCGCACCTGAGCGAATTTCCCTTTTAGCTCGTCTCAACAGATTGAGGCCGTGCCACTTGTTTTCGCTCGGCCAAAAACGTCCTGGCAATGCTCTGGATGGGACAGATCCTTCGTCCGCCGCAATGCCTTTTTGCCACATAAATTTCCGTCACATCATCGGTGGCTTACACTCAGCGACCTCGTGCCACGGGGTCTCAATGTCGCATTTGTAAACGGACGGTCACGCGATTTTTTAAATAACGTAATACAAAACACAAACTACGGCGGCATTGATGATGACGATGCTGCTGCAGTAGCAGCAGCAGCGAAATCATCTGGAAGTGTTCTGACTTGAGCATCGATCCATTCATCAAACGCCCGTGGCGAGCGCGTTGTGACATTTCCAGCCAATTGCCAACGAGCAAACATCCCTCAACCCTCCCCCAGACTTCCCGACGGTCACCTCTCGATCGCGGTCGGTGGCTGGCGTATAACTCACCTGGGCGGAGGGTAGGCGGAGCTGGGAGTTGGCGTGCAGGTCGCGCACACAAGCAGTAGGCACAGAGTCCGCCGAGCCCACATCGTTGAAGGCGAACCCGGGAGACGGACCGAGAAGATGCCGACAGACGAACGCGGCGCGCGTAGATTTGAGAGACGGATGATGACGCTTTGAGCGGACGGTGGCAACGAGAGAGAGGTCGCGGAGCCAGACGCCAACGCAAGCTGAGAGATGCCAAATGAATAGAAGAAGGAGGATGAGGAGGAGGATGAGGAGAGACGGAAAGCGCAGAGACGGGCACTCAAGGCCACCGCGACTGGCAGCTGCGCGGAGCGACACGAGAGAAGGGAGGAGAGGCCCCGCGGGAGAACGAAAGTCGAGTGGTTGGAGAGACGGCGTGCCGATGATGTCTTGAGAGAGAGAGAGCTGGGGGGGGGGGGGGGCTTGAATTCGCTGACGGACAGAAGAATACGCGACTCCTACCCACCGTCACTCTCGCGCGCAACTTTTTAAACGATTTTTTCAGTAGGCGTGGTCAATGTGAGCTTATTAATTAGGCTAAAAGGACGGGGGGGAGGAGGGATGGGGTGGTGGGAAGGGGTGGGCGGGGTGGAGGGATGGGGTAAGGGTGGGGGATTTGGTTGGGAGGGCGGGGAAGAGGAGGCAGAGGGCGTGAACTCGATGTAGGGTCGAGAGTTATCATTTTAGGAATCCATCGAACTCCCTCCCCCCACTCTCCCCTAGACATCACCCCCCACCGGATGCCACACGCCAATGACGTCACTGCACGACGTTTCTTTTTATAATTATTATTGGTATGTGCTCTCTGTAACCTTATGGAGAGAGAGAGAGAAAAAAAATGCAATTAGTAAATCACTTTGAACGAGACGTGGAAAGTCGCGTTGTGCCTCTGTCGTGATAACGCATTGACGCGTGCGGCGTGTTCCTTGTGTGGCTGTCGTGTTAATTCTAGATTTGAAGCATTCGTGACTGCAAGGATTCATACTCTTAGTTCTTTCGGTAAAGTCACGTAAGTAAAAAATGAAATAAAAATTAATAAAAATAAAACGATGAAAATCACGACGTTTCGGAGGCAACACAAGTCTCCGTCATCAGGTGGGACCGTCAGCCAGATTAGCTGCATCAAGTGTTTTTAAAAAAATAGAACCCCTTTACCGAAAGAACTAAGAGTATGGCTGTCGTGTGCCGTGCGAGCCTTGGTTGATGTGCTGCGACTCGCGAACAGCACTTGCCCCACTTGCCCGCTGCCAAACGTCTGTCAAGGCTACACGGGAGGGGGGGCAGCTATGGATTAAGCTAGTGCGGGGCCTGTAGCAGATGTTATAAAGGGGCTCTAATTTTTTTTAAAAACATAAATATTAAAACACACATTTTTAACTTGCATAGTAAAGTAATTGTATTTTTTCAATTGCTATACAGCCACATAATACGACAAATCGCTAACCTTAAACACCCAGTCGTTCATTAAAGTTGAAGGCGGTATAGTACTATAGTAATAGAGGAAGTGCAGAATCACTGAACCGGAATTGATAGCTTGAAAGCATTTATAGCGCGGGGCCCTTGCAAGTGGGGGGCCCGAAGCTACTACACGTGTAGCTACTGCACGTGTAGCTACACGTGTAGCTACTACACGTGTAGCTACTACACGTGTAGCTACTACACGTGTAGCTACTACACATGCAGCTACTACACATGTTGTAGCTACAACATATGTAGCTACTGCACGTGTAGCTACACGTGTAGCTACTACACGTGTAGCTACTACACGTGTAGCTACTACACGTGTAGCTACTACACATGCAGCTACTACACATGTTGTAGCTACAACATATGCAGCTACTACACATGTAGCTACAACATATGTAGCTATACTACACGTATAGTAGCTACACGTGAAGTGTAGCTACTACACGTGCAGCTACTACACATGCAGCTACTACACATTGTAGCTACTATACATTGTAGCTACAACATATGTAGCTACTACATATGTAGCATCTTTTATTTTTATTTACCGTGGCTCCCTCACAGCACGTGGGGGGGGGGGGGGCAAGTCGAGGAAAAGACGCTTGGAGAGAGAGAAAAAGGAAGTCCCAATCACTGACGAGGAGGAGGACCCGGCTTAAAGATGAGGAGCAGGAAATGTTTGTTGTTGTTGTTTGTGGTTAGTTTGTTGTCCTTCAGCCGCACCTTCGATTTGCACGGTCGGCTACGTAGGACGCCGCGGTGGCTAGGAGATGTTAACTACCTCGCCTGGTATGCAGGAGGTCGTGAGTTCGATCCCGACCCTGACGCCTGCTGCTGTATATTTGGAGTTTGCGTATCTCTCTCTCTAATCATCATCACGGTGGCTAGGAGATGTTAACTACCTCGCCTGGTATGCAGGAGGTCGTGGGTTCGATCCCGACACTGACACCTGCTGCTGTATATTTGGAGTGTGGATTTTTCTCCGGGTCCTCCGGGTTTTCCACTCTCTATTGAGAATCAACGTGGCGTTTCGGAGTATTTGGCTGCTGTACATTTCCACACGATGATAAGCCACTTCGTTGAGCTATCATTTGTGCTCGCCAGCTCGCTCCTTAAAAAATAACTATACAGCCCGATGGGTTTGACCCCAGTAAAATAAAATTGTAGTTTAGTTTACGTACGGTGCGAAAGAAGCTCAACATACATACAGGGATGAAGAAGTAGGCCCGCCCATGCGTCGATCTCATCACGACATCTCCTCCTGCAGTTTGACGCGCTCGTTGCTGAATTCCCTCCCTCCTTTAGCTGCCATTCAATCGCTATCCTTGCCCTCCGGCCACGCCATCGTCCATAGCGGCGAGAGTCCGATGGAGTTGTCTGAGCGGTCAACGTTTTGTCCGCAAACCGCCACATTCAAGCGTGACTCCCTTCATAGGTGCTGCTACTCGCTAACGGCACTTGCCCCAACAGTCTGTTGAGGCTATATGGGGTGGGGTGGGGGTCTTTGCCTTTGTGTGTGCGTGCGCACATTTACGGGGAGTGGTGGCGCAGCAGTTAGCGCACTGCGCATGGAACCCCGGCAAGAACCCTGCAGAGATTCGTTCGCCCCTCGCTCGCGACCGACAACGGTGAATATTTAAACCGGTGCCGGGCGCCCTCCTAGGTCGACTCAGCCTTAATGCAGTGCCTGGCGCGGTGCGTACAGCAACCTCGGCCACTGGGGGGAGGAGGGGGTGGGTGGGACACACAAAGACGGCCGGACGCTGTGGCGTTGGCCACCAAAGCCCCCCTCCTCGTGTGCCGTGCCGGCCTTCATCAGTGATCCTCGCTCACAGCACTTGCCCCAACAATCCGTGAAAGCCAATATGGGAAGTGGTGGTGAGAGAGGGGGGGGGGGAGGATCTTTGTCTTTGTGCGTGCGCACATTCATGCATTTGCTGCACAAGTGTTCGAGCAAGAAGAACAACACCAACAATAACAACAACAACAACAAACAAAACAAAACCCATTACTCAGCAAAAGCCACTGGCGTGACGAGACGGGCGCACTCTCCATTTGAAATAATCGCAGAGCAGGGCTGGCGGGACGAGTCACGGTACCCCCCCTCCCTCTGCACCCCCCCCCCCCTCCTCTCCCCCCCCCCCCTCTGCACCCCCCTCTGCCCCCCTCCCTCCTCCACCCCCTCTCCCCCCCCCTCTTCCCCCCCTCTCCTCCCCCTTCTTCCCCCCATCTCCTCCCCCCTCTCCCCCACCACCCCCAGGAGGAGTTGGCACTGGGTCTTGGCGATGCCAACTACAATGCGGTGTGATTGCCACGGAGAATGAGTACTCGCACTAATCCACTTGGGCTCTCACCGTTTGGCCATCAAATCGCCGAGGGTGGGTGGCACGTGCCCAGACAATTCTGCTCGATACGGAAAGTATAGTTGGGGGGGGGGGGGGGGGTATGGTGGCGAGTTATTAACTCCCTCGCCTGGTATACAGGAGGTCGCGGGTTCAACCCCGACCCTGACGCCGGTAGCTAAGAGATGTTAACTCCCTCGCCTGGTATACAGGAGGTCGTGGGTTCAACCCCGACCCTGACGCCGGTAGCTAAGAGATGTTAACTCCCTCGCCTGGTATACAGGAGGTCGTGGGTTCAACCCCGACCCTGACGCCGGTAGCTAAGAGATGTTAACTCCCTCGCCTGGTATACAGGAGGTCGTGGGTTCAACCCCTATCCTGACGCCGGTAGCTAAGAGATGTTAACTCCCTCGCCTGGTATACAGGAGGTCGTGGGTTCAACCCCGACCCTGACGCCTGCTGTCTATCTGTAGTTCGCACGTCTCTCACCCCGTTTGTCGCGTGGATTTTTCTCCGGTTTTTCCCCTACACATTTAGAATCGACATGCGTTTGGAGTATTTTGACTGCTACAGATTTCCACGCGATAAGCCACTTCGTTGAGCTATCATTTGTGGCCAGGTCGCTTCTGTAAAACAAATAAGTATCACCCGTAAAAACAAAGTTTTTAATATAGAGGATTTAAAAATATATTCGCCTGTGGAGGACGCGGGGATCGATCCCGCGACCTTTGGCATGGGAAGCGAGGGCGCTACCAACTGCGCTACTCCACCACAGCCTGTGGAGGGGTTACGCTCTGGGCTCTTATACTGTGACGTTCAGCCAAAGCGATGAATGAGTTCTATTTGAATATATGTAAAATATATTTTTTTTGCCTAAAAAGTGTAAAATTTTGGGAATTTTTTTTCACGAACATTAATTGTCTGGCACAGCGAGTCTGTGTGTAAAATGTCAGCTCGATTGGATCACGGGAAGTGGGTTAAAAAACGACCGAAAGATTTGCACGGTCGTAAGCAAGCAAGCACGCAAGCATGCGAACTTAATATAAAGGATTTAAAAAAAGAGCTTTATTGCTCAGCGGGCCTTACCTGCTAAAATAAAATCAATAGTTTCCCTGCTGCAATATAATTCGTGCAGTAATCACACGGAGAGAGATATACACGATGCATAGGTGGATACTGCCAACTCCTCAAAATATTGTGACATCATATCTCGTCTCAATGTAAACGTCAATTTATTCATCGTTTTTACAACGGGCATTCATATCTTGGGGAAATTGCTTCATGCAACGCGTGCGGGTTACTCACGGGAGATGCTGTTCAGAATGATAAGTAATAAAGTTGCGACCATAGATTCGAGAAAGCAATTTGTACGAAAGGATCTATTTCGTTTGCGCATTTGCGCGAGGCCCACGTGACTGCTGCGTCGTTCGTCTCGTGCCCGTGGGGCAGTGTCCTCGTGGCGTGCGATACGCACGGCGTGTTCCGTACGTTGAACTTCTTTCGCACCGTACGTAGCCAACCGCTTCCGGCCTCTCTCACCGCCACCCTCGCCCCCCTCCCTCGCCACCAACACCATCCATAGCTCCAGTGGCTACTTTGTATCGGAAAGAAGAGCGTTCCAGATGGCCGCAGAAGCGCATC